CACTTTGGAAACAGCATCAGCATGAATCTTCCAGTAAAGCCAATCGACAGCTGGTCAAGAGGAATCCGCTGTTGTCTTCTGGTGACACCAAACTTCGAATCTCTTCACCCAACACTCACTCGAAATAGAAGTAAGCTCAACAAAGAAAAAATGATCGTTTATTTAAATGGCACTGACACATATGCCTTTATCGAGAGATCCAACAGAAAGACTTAAGACTAGGCTAAAGGAGGCCATTAAGTTATGCGTAAGCAATGATAAAATGAAAAAGTGGAAAATGAAGCCGGCAAAGGTATAGCCATGGTAGTCATGGCTATGACAAGTTAGGTATCTATTAAAAATACTGGTTTATTTAATTGGCACGGACACGTGTAGGCCTAGAATGAGAGATCCGACGAGAAAACTTAAGCCTAGGTTAAATGGTGCTCTAAAGTTATGCACTCGTAAGGGGAAAATTTACAATTAAAAAATGAATAAGCTATTCCAGAGAGCTGAAAGGACTCAGAACAGGACGTCTGAATTCCGTAATACTGGAGCCGTTTGGCTTTAATACGACCTTCAGGTTGACGCATTTCGTGAGATATCTTCCTTCGTTTCGGGCGAAATCGGTTGAGCCTTCGTCCATTAAATGACGGGCATGAATGGTGAGAAAATTTCTGGATAAAAGTATTGCTCAAAGAAACCTCCAGGATTTCTTCGGTTATGCCATCTTTTAGGGAGAAATATGACTCATTAACGAAATCCTGCTGTTACAAGATTGTTTGCTCATCTGGTCGTTGTTATGCTGGTGTGGCATGCCGACCTATTCGACAAAGATTGAGAGAACACAAAAATGCTTTTAAAGGAAGCTGGGCATGAAATAGAATGGTCTCAAACGTGTAGGTTTGCTGATTATGGTAAGTCTGCGGGCAAAAGAAGGATAAGAAGGCGACTCAACTGATCTGCTTAGTGATGCTTCTAACTTCACTCACACTCGTCCAACATGTTGGATTAAGCTCATCAACCAAAACGTCTCGTTGGGTTTATGAGTTCGGCACAACCGTTGAACGATCGTGAATGTGACTAGAAGAATTAGTGGGCTAACAAGTTGAGTCGCTTCTCTTGTTTGGCGGTTTAATGCTCTCTTCTTTACTCCATCTTCTTACTCAACTTCCTCTCTCCATTCTTGACATTCAACTTATTCCCCAATCTCTCATATTGCGTTTAATAACAAGTGTGCCATAGTCCTATCATAAAAGAGAATAACTATATCATTGCTATATTGTTGGGGTGACTTTCATTTCGCATAAAAGAGCATGAAGGAGAGATCTGTAGGTCGATCTCATCAGGAGAGGAAGGCTGAATCCCGTTGTGCTGCAGCCGTTTGGCTTTTATACGATGTTCACGTTGACGCAGTCCACGATACATGCTACCTCGTTTCGGGAGAAAAAGGGGTTCACCTTTCGTCAATCATATGATGGGCATCACAGCTGTAACTTATTCTTATTAAAGTCTCACGTCGTATAAAAGCTAAACGGCTGCAATACAACGGGATTCATCCGTCCTCTTCAGGTGAGATCGACCTACGAATCTCTTCTCATACGAAATGAAAGTCCTTCCAATGAATTCATACCTACACTTTGAAAAGTTCGTTTACTTACTTTCCTTTCCCTTCTATTAAGGTAGGGTCAATTTATATTTCTTATTTTCATATATTAACTTGTCTATCGGTGAATGAGCCTTGGAGGATACCATTCGGAGCTTCAGCTTACTCCTCAGGTGACATTATTGTGGTGGCCTCCATTTCGGTTTAAAAGGACTTCTGAGTCTATCCAACAAGAAGGCAATTTTTCTTTCCCGTTGCTATGCCCTCGTTTGATTTTCCCCGGTTCCGGTTAACGCCGCAACCGAGACATCTTCTTTCGATTCGATTGAAATGGCGTGAGCTTTCGTCTGGCATTCTCGTCACTTGGCGTCACTTGACAGAAAATATATATCCAAATTCCAGTTACCACAAAGAAATCATTTTGTACATCGTATTCATTTTTTTCCACGTCTAAACTGTCCTTCATTTTCAGTCACATTCCATATGAAAATGCTTTAAGAAGCGATTCGAAGGACGATCTCACACGAAGACGACGGCTGATTTGCGTTGTAATGTTGTTTAGCCTTAATACCACGTTTAGGTTTCATGTAAAAATGAGCTGGGCCTTCGCCGATCACATGATGGACATCCTCAGAGCTTCAGTTCATTCTTTTAAGTCTCGCGTCAACATTAGGCTTAGTCTATTCTATTTTATCTTATCATATTATATCCTATCGTATCGTATCGCACCGCATTGTGTTGTTTTGTGTTGTGTGTCAATTTAACGAGATTAGGATGATGTCCATCATGTGATGGGCGAAAGCTCGAAAATTTTTCACCCAACACCAGGGAGGATGTTTCGTAGATTGTGTCAACCTGTACCTCTTATTTAAGCCAGACAGTTGCACTAAACCGGAATCAGTCGTCTTTTAGGGGGATCGACCTTCAGCTCTCTTCTTCATGTCTCCCCAAAATTGTTATCTTGGGAGTTTGAGTGGAACCCAGCTACGTTTCAGTCTGATCTTCATTTTATCGCTGGTCGAAACAAAAAGTTTGAGTTTGGGCATTTGTGACAAGACAGTTGTGTTTGAATTGTCTCTGGTAGCCAAACCAGACAGTTTCTGGTTCCTCAAAACAGATTAGATAGAGTGAACAAGTCCCGTCCATCAGATTCTACATGCCCTGCAACCTTACTTTTAACTGTCGGCCAAATTATAATGAGCCGAGTCACTTTCTTTCGTTTATGGTGATGAAGGACTGATAGTTGAAGTCTTTCACAATGGTATCAATGGTCATGACGTCCCTATTGACTTTCTCATAGCCTTGCATTCTCAGAATGTATTCTCATCTAGGTTGTGTGGTGGGATTATCAATGAAGCAAACTTATTTTTGCCATAGCAATCGACGACTGGTAGTCTCAACAATCTACTCAAAACAAAATACAATGGTTGGATTTAGAAATGGCTCCTTTTCTCTGTCTATACTTGTGAAGGTGACAATGTTCACGAGCTCATTCATGCATACGATAAAACCGTTTCTTTGGCCCGAATTCAGCAGTAAAACTGGCAATTTCCCGTGTTGCATGAGGGCTTTTGCCGTTGTACTTGCTAGGGTTTGCAGCAGCATATGAGGACACATCCTATCTAACCCCAAAAGGGTTAAAAATCGTAAAATTAATATTTAGAAACTTCGTCTTACAAAATTTGTCCTGCTGTCGTAGAGTGTCGTAGAGTCGGCTCGCAAGCCTTATGCGACGTTCAGAGCGAAATGTGGGGTTTTCGATGCGATCCCTTTTTTCTTCACCCGAGCTTATGCGGGCTCAATCCCATTTGAGACATATCAATTATGTTCACCACCGATACCATCGTTGCTCGTCTCACTCTGTCCAACATTGCCTTCTTGCCCTTCACGCCTATCTCCACAGGCTGTTGCTGCCAAGTCCATGATTGCCCAACTTTCCCCGCCTCGTTCAGATGCATTCGTGTTGACCGACTTATCCAGCAAGTGGGATCAAGCTGCCTCTGGTCCGCGGAGCTCGCAGGGAATCGGCTCTCTGCTGTTGGACTTTGCACGAGCCCAACGCGTCTGCCAACTGCTCGCTGAGCTTGCCGGTCTCCTGTCATGCCTCCAGTTCGCAGAAGAGTTCATCAAACAAGCAGGCTACGAGTGTCTTTTCGATTGGGTCATCTGCCTGTGAGTGAATTCATACATCCATTGACCTGGTTTAGCGAGTTAATAACTTTTGTGCTCTAGCCCCTAATCATTGCGGCTATGCTAGCCATTGAACCACTACATTAAAATAAATTTATATCACTCCAAGTTGGTATGTCAATAGAGAAAAAGAGATTAATAAAACTTGAAAAAAACTCCCAAATACTCACATTACGCAAAATATATATGCAATGATTTCCTTGCGGATTTCAGAAATTTTCGTTGATACTTTCATTTCGTATGAAAGTACATGATGAAGAGATTCCTAAGTCGATCTCACCAGAAGAGTACGGCTCAATTCTGTTATACTGCAGCCGCTTGGCTTTAATTCTTGAGCTTCCATTTCGAGTAAAAGTGTTGCGTGAAGAGATTCGAAGGTCGGCTCCCCCAGAAGACGACGGCGGATTCCTCTTGACCAGCTGTCGATTTGATTTACTGAAACATTCATGCTGACGTTGTTTCCGAGGCAATCTTCTTCGATATCGGTGAAAAGGTGCCAAGCTCTCGTCCGTCATATGACGAACATGATCAGAGCAAGGTATCATCGTTACAACAAAATTCAAGCTAGCGAATCAAGAAAACGCACCGGAAAATCCCTAAAAAGTGGTATATTTACTCTACATCTGGTCTCTTTGATCAAGTATAAAGTGATTTGGTTAGTTAAGGTCATATGTCAACTTCGA